TCCACAAAGAGAATCTTAAGTAGGACTACCCCAGGAAATTGGGAAGAAACTCAAAGTAATTACTTTGGAACATAATTATAACAATTATGGCAGCAACATATACCATACCATTGGGTCAACAGAGAAGTGATGTTTCCATTTGTGGAGCATAAAGCAGGAAGAGAATTTAAAGAACTATCTTCCATCTATAAGCGCTACAAACATCCTAGCCATTAATGAAAAGAATACAAAATCCTCTTTTGGGCATTCAAAGTCCCTTATAACCTACCTGCTCCCCAATCCATCCCTTTACCTTTCCAGCCTTCTAACTTTACTCCTTGACAGGTGCTCTTTGATCCAGTGACACTGGCTTCCTGGCTGTTTCTCAGACAAGACTGGGCATTCTCTGTAGCTGTCTCCCATGCCTGGAAGCTCTTCTTTCCTATCTCCACCTAACTGACTTCCTTTCTAATTCCCAACTAAAATCCTATCTTCTACAGGAAATCCTTCTCAACCAACCCTCTTTAATTCTCGTGCCTTTCCTTTGATAATTATTTCCTGTTTACCTTGTATACAGCTTGTTTGTACATATGTTTGCCTATTATGTCTCCCGTTAGACTGTGAACTCCTTGAGGGGAGGGACTGTCTTTTGCTTCTCTTGAAATCTCCAGAGCTTAGCACAATGCTTGGCACATAGAAGACGCTTATAGATGTTTACTGACTGATCTGACTTTAGTGTAGACAGCAGATTATATCTTAAGTGAAACCCTGAGTTACCAGACAATAAGATGACTCAACCATTACTGTAACATTATAAATGAAACCTAGTGCTCAGAATTCTACCACTTGTCCTCTTTTAGTCAATTCTGTATCTACCTAAGCAAATGATGGTATTTTGACTGAACACGTCAATCTCTACCCAGAAAACTGCAATGGCTCCCTGTTCCCTTGAGGATCCAATATAAAATCTTGTCTAGCATTTAAAGCTCTTCATAACTTGGCACTTTCCTCCTTTACACTTTACTTCTCTTCACACACTAGGATCTAATCATAGTGGTGTACTTACTGTTCTTAGCACATTACATTCCATCTCTTGTTTCCATGCCTTTGTAATGGCTATGCCTCATGCTTAGGAAAGCTCTGCCTCAGTTTCCTTGGCTTCATTCAACATTTAATTTTCTCAGTCCCTCCAGCTGTTAGGGCCTTCCCTTAAAAATAATAGCATCTGGCACATATTTAAGAGTTTAATAAATGCTTGCTGAGTGACAATCCAATCCAACAAATATAAAAGCGGTAGGCATTCAGGATGCAAACACAAAAGGAGAACCTGCCCTCTGGAAGCAGAAGGCTATGGGGTGGGGATGGATGTACAAGTACTCAACATAACTGGAAGAAAGAGAACATTGGCAACTAGGGGACAACCCCATAACTAAACAAATATTGATAATGGTTTTCCACGGCTAACTTAAGTACCATGATGTCTTTTCATAATCCAATTTTATAGAGCTTTTACATTTGATAGAGTTCTCACTTCTATCCTTTCAATTAGTCCACATTACTTTTCATTTCAAAATGAGAGAAAACCACTACTCCCAGACCAATTAAATATTTACAAACACCCACATATTGGTTGGAATAAATTTAAGTTTTGTTTTTCTTCTTAAAATTTTGAAAGACATTACCCAGAGGCTACTGACATGGAAAGGCTCTTTGTGACTTTGAATTCCATTTGTACTATGACCTGCTTCTTAATTGAAGTCATAAATGTCTCCATTGGTGACATAATTTACAGAACCAATTAAGAGATGTCAAATAGCATGGTGGCTTCTGGTAATGAATAAATGGCAGGAACAGATCTTTAGGACAAAAATTTTTTTCCATTAAAAAACAAAACAAAACACAAAACTCCAAGAATAGAAAAAATCATCTAGCTTTAGTCACTTAAAAAAAAGTAAACAAAAAGAGAAGCAGTGATGAATATTAGACAAAACTTTGGACTTGGGAGTCTGAAAGACCTGGGTTCATATTCTAAGATAAGTAAGCTCTTTAGCTTAAGCCTCTTCCTCTGTGAAATGAGAAAGAATGACTCTGACACCCAGATTTAAATCTATGATCCTATGAAATATGAAATGAGGTTGTTGTTTTACATCCTAGAGGGCAGGGGTGGTAAATGTAAAAATCACCCTTAGCTCAGATTTGGCAGAGCTGGCTCAAGAGCCATAGTTTGCTGACCCCTGTTACAGGGGACAAATTACTACACTGTTCAAAGGAAACATGTTTTTGAAAAGCATAACAGATCTCTTCTAGTTCTCTAATTAAATGGGTAGAAATACCTAGCTGTTACAGGAGCTTCTTTAGGTCAATGACAACACCAAATTAGGTTCATGCCAGTGAAATGGTATAAACTATGAGAAAGGGAATGAGTCTTTACTCTAAAACAAGACACAGAATAACATGAAATTTATTATTTCCCCCTAAAGTTGTGACTTCAATACTAAATGGAAAATAATTAATAAGTATGAAGTTTAAATTGTACCCACATCCCTAAGAAACACGATCCTGTTTGTTTCCTGGTTAATTAAGTGTACCTCTGGTTACTATACACTCCAGAAAAGGATTTAAAGAAAAGAGCACTTTCAGTAAGGCTATGCTGTTGAAGTATTCTTTTGTCAAACCATGTGTTTGTAAGTCTGTGATTTTGGTTTGGAAAATATGGCCACAGTTAGCATCACCCAAGGGGAAAAAAAAACCTAGAACTCCAATCTTATTTACTACGTCTCGATACTCAGTACAGTGAGAAGCCTGGGATTAACTCATTTAGTTTGGTTTATGGGTTTTAGATAGTACTGTAAATGAAAACCTGATTAACGTCAACTTTATACTGTTTTAAAACAAAAGGGAAACAGTTAATGAGAGGCTACTGAAAATTAGTATGTATTATTAAGTTCAAAACCTCCAAACTAATATTCTGAAAAATAGGTAACATTTTGTCCATTACTTAATAGGAACCATATAAATGTCCCCCACTTCTTCACAGCATTTAACTCTGATCCAGTTGCATTTACCTTCCTCTCCAGCCTCAGCTATTAGTAACTGACTTAAGAGCCCTATTTTACAGTTAAAGTAGACTATGTCCACATTTATTAAACAGGCTCTGCAATTCTTTCCTATCTCTCTTCACATGTACTCGCATCTTTCCTGTCTTATATCTAGATATCAAAATCCTTCCCTATTCTTTAAGACCTAGCTCCTATTCCAGGGGGACCATCACCACCACCCTGAGCCATGGTGAAGTTGGCTAAGAACTTTTACCTCAACTCCCATCCCACTTCGGCGGAACCATTTTAATGACACTTATATACTGCTTTGTATTGTAGTTATTTATGCACACAGCAGCTTTCATACAAGTTTTATAAGCTCCCTGAAGATAGAAACTAAATTTTCCCCCCTCCCTCTCAGCACTCTGAGCTAAGCACAATCCCTCATGCTTAATTTTTCACAAAAAAAGTAGTGGTAGTATGGTGGATTTTGAGTTGGAAAACCTGGGTTTGAATCCAAATTCTACCGATTTACTACTGGTACAAGGCACTTCAAATCTCAGTTTCCCCCTTTGTAAAAAGAAGGGTTGGAATCTAGATGACCACTACTTTCAAATAAAGTGTCTCACCGGGCTAAAACTGTAGGACTCCTTTTTCAGTTTAACTGTACCACCTCTCAACGATACCACAGCACAGGGAAGTTTGCAATGAGCCACTTAATCTCTCTAAATTTCAGATGATTTTGCCTTTTAAAATCCTAAAGGAATGAAATGAGAAAATCTTGACATTTGAAACCACCATTTTAACAGACCTTTTATTTATGTGTACTTTAGACCACTTGGGAAAGATGAGCTCATTTGGGCTGCAGCGCCACCATCTTTTTTCAATGACCCCAACAATGCTGTCAGCCAAGCAGAGCAAGAGAAGTGGGTAAGGCTAAAGATCTAGTTAAAAACGTACCCAACTCTGGTAGGTGATACTGGATGACTTTTATTCCTTTAATTCATATAGACTACACAAAAACCATCCGCTCTTTGCCAAAAAGATGTATGATATTAAAATGATTGGGCCTCACGTTCCCTATACCTTCACAAATCTACTCCTGGAATGTGAGACCTAGGTTCTTTGTCTCAGCAACGTGGGAGGAGTTTGTCTGAAGTACTGAGGTGCTGGCAAAAGGAGAATTTACCGAATACTGTTTAAATACATACATTTATGAACCTTGTTAACTGGAATGCACATTACAGTTGCCATTATAGATATATTTAATCGTGTTTTAAACAAAACAAAACAAAACACCACCACCAAAACAAACCAAGGTATTGAGTGTTTGTATGATGCACTTCGGAAACACACTTAAGTATCACCAATCCAACATAGATCTCGGAAGAGGCAGCTCCTCCTCAAATGGCAAGTTTCCGAAGAGAAGAGCAAATATGTATCACACCAACATTCCCTTCTCAAAGTTAACTAGTTCTGCAATGTCTGCTTTGGTCAATCCACTACCAGAAGAGGCTACATAAAGAACACCGAAAACTGCAGGCTCGGTCTGTCTGATACGAGCAAGTTTATGGAAACCTCTGTAACCTGCAGCTGGACGGTCCCCCGAGTCCGCGGGTCTACTTCCCACTGAACCCGCCTTTCAACCCCTCCTGTCACGGACCCCAGCCAAATTGTAACTCACTTTACTTTCGGGGGGATAGACCTGATTACCTTTTACCTTAGGCAACATTGAAGAGGCACCTGGACTCTACACCCAAAGTCCTCCTTCCCCAGACCACCCCGCCAGCCGGGCATCTCGCCCCGGAGCGCCCCGATGCAGCCCCCGGACCTGAACAAACTCTGGTCCCCGAAAGCACAGAGGGGAGCCGGCGGGTCTCGCATGGGGGAGGCCCCGGGGCCGTCTCTCCTCCCCCTCGCCACGCCCGCCCTGCTCCCCGCTCCTTTGTCCCCACCCTGCCCCGGTGCCCGGCCGCTACTCACCCTGGCGACCGACGATCTCGGCGACGTGCTCGGAGCTAGGCACCGGGACGCACTCAGTGGTGTTGACGCTCTTTCTCCGGAGGAGAGCTGCCTGCTCCCCGTTCAGCGCGGCCGCCGCCGCCGCCGCCGCCGCCCCCCCGCAGCCGCCGGGGCCGTAGGCGTGGGACAGCATCGCCGCCATCATGCCCTGGGGATCGTCCCCTCCGTACAGCACCCCGGCCGCCGCCGCCGCCGCCGCCGCCTCCCGAGCGTCGAAGCCCGGGGCAGGGAGTAGCACCGAGCCCAGGGACCCGCCCGGAATCGGGTGGCTCTGGGAGGTGGCGGCGGCGGCGGCGGCGGGCGGCGAGAGCAGCAGCAGCGGCTGCCGGTCGTGGTCCTCCTCCTCGTCGTCCTCCTCCTCTTCCAGCTCCTCCTCCTCCAGCAGGTCCCCGTCCACCTCTGCTTCCTCCTCCTCCTCCTCTAGCTCCAGCTCCAGCTCCGCCGTCTCCGGGGCCCCGGGCCGGCCGGGGTGAGCCCGCTCCTCCGGGGACAGCCCCACCATCCTCCGGGCCTGAGCTTGAGCCGCCGCCACCGCGGCCCGGAGCGTCGGGTCGGTGGTGTCCGCCTGGTGGGGGTCGTCGAGGCCTAGCGCGGCCAGGCGCTCCCGCAGCAGGAGCCCGTCCCGCTCAGGCTCCGGACCCCCGGGGGGCGGCGGCGGCAGCGGCGGGGGGGGAGGCGGGGGCGGCGGCTGAGGCTGCGGCAGGGGGGCCGGGGCCGCCGCCAGGGCCAGGGCCGCGGAGCTGCCGCTCGGCATCGCGGCGGAGGCGGCGGCGGCGGCAGCAGCGCGCTGTCAATGGCGGCGGCGGGAGACCGTGTCAGGCGAGGCGGGCGGCGAGCCCCATGACCGACCGGGCCCGGGCCCTGCTCAAAGCGCAAACACCTTTCCTCAGGGGAGCCGGCAGCGGCAGCCGGAGAGCGCACCACCGCCCGGGGACCCGAGGAGGAGGAGGAGGAGAAGGAGGGACGGTGGCAGGGGAGAGGAGACGAGAGGGAAGGAGAAGGCGGGGTGGCCGGGGGTGGGGGCAGTGGCCGGCGGGCGGGCGGGCGGGCGGCGGCAGAGGCTGCGGCTCCTCTCTCAGGGTTTCTTTTGTTTCATGGCCCCAACCAGCCCCCGGCGCGCGCGGCGGAGGCGACGCCCCACGCCTCTCTCCGAATGAAGCCGGAGCGCGCTGATTGGCCGCTTTCAAGCGCCGGCCGCCCGCCCACCTCCCGGAGAACCTTACCCTGTCCCTTGCCCCACCCCCACCACCCCTTTTGGGGCCCCACCCCCTTCCCGTCCTGGGCTCACTGATTGGACGGCTGGGCTCCGACAATAACCCCGAACCCTTCTCCTTCCGCTCTCTCCCCTTGCCCCGCCCTCTACACCCGACTAAGGTAGGGAGAAAGACTGTGATTGTTCTTTTGCCGCGTCACTCTTTGTGACGTTAAGGGCGTGGGCGGGGAAAGGAGGAGGGACGAAGTCCCCGCTGTCGCCTGGGTGGTGCAGAGGGGAAGGGGCTTCCTGGACTGGGGGCCGGCAGATGGGGCTTGCCTCTCTCTCTTCCCACGCCCCTCACACGCGCGGGTCAGGTGGGGTCGACCCGTCTCATGCGTTGAGGGGGCTCGGGCGGTGCGTATGGAGAGAGGGCGGGGCATTTCTGCGGAGAGAGGAGGCGGAGGCTTTCGCGGTGGAGGGCCGGCACGGCTCGCCGGTAGATGGTCGCTCTGGAGCTGGCGGCGGCGGCGGAGTTTCTTCCCTGGGCAGGGAAGCGGCGATCGGGGAACTCCGGTGCGGAGCTGACCTTGGTGCCTGGGCATGGGTTCCTGGGCACCGGGCACTCCCGGGCCAGAGGCCGAAGTTCGGCGCGGAGAAGCCACCGGTGCTTTCCCCGCCCGTGAGGAGCGTCCTTCCGGTCGGACAGTGGCCGGGGTCCCGTCTTCCTCTCCCAGAGTTTCCTGCCACCCCAAGTTGGGCTGCGTGGGAGGGCGCCGCTCCCCTGCCTCCCGCGCGCCGCAGGCCGCCCTCTGCCTTCGCCTGCCCCGCGCGCCTCGTGGCCGGCCCGGGAGGAGCCCCCGACCCCGGCCCGAGCGCGGCCGAGTCAATAAGGGGTCGTGGCGCTTAGAGCCGGGCAAGAGCTGAGAAGCCCAGCCAGTCCAACCCCACTTTAAAGGTGAGGAAACAGCCCCCAGTCCTCAAAGCAGGTACCTTTTTGTGTGGCGCTATGGACTCCCCTCCTCAGAATAATGTTTTAAAGTGAACAAAATAAAATCCGTAGGATTTCCAAGCAAACCAAGCGTGTTGGCATAGAGTTGTCACAAAAACAATTTTTAAATTCACCGACCCCAAGACAAGCACTACAGTTAGATGATTAATCACATTCCCCCAAGCTAGTTTTTGCACCAAGGTCTGTTGACCCCGCTGCCTGCTCCTCCTCCTCACACACCCTCCTGTCTCCGATCCCACCTCCTACACCTGGTGTGTTCTTTGAGCTGTGCCTCATTAAGTTATTCTTTTTGGGAAGATTTGCATTTGCTTTGACAGCTCTGTCCCTTAACTTCCCCAAACAAAAGCAAACCCTTCTGAATTATAGGTTGTAGAAGCTCTCTCACTAACAAGTCTTATTTGTGCAGCTCCAACCTTTCCCTGGACCTCAGGCTTTAATGCTGTATATGATACTGGGCTGATAACTAATAATTTAATGGAGAGATGGGGTTTTTTTTTAGCCCTAGGGTATGAATTGGTTATTTGTAGCTTTTTTTTTTTTTGCTATCCCTTCTCTACGCCCATATATGGGACAGTTGTTTATTGATTTACCTCATCCACACTTTTTGTTATTCCCTTTTTATTCACTTCTAAATTTAAATGATGTCACTCAACTAAATATTTGATACCCCAAGGAAAAAAAGTATGTAGTAACTATCGTGGCATATGCGGACTATACTAGATTATTGAAATACTGGTGAATAGCTGTAAGTGTATTTTACACATATATCTAGAAAATCTGTTGCTTTATCTCTACAATAGAATTTGCTGTCTCAGCTTACTTTATAACCCTGACTTGAATCTGAGAAGTTTCTGTAAGGTAAATGGGATCAAGGAAGTAAACCAAATGAAACATACAGTGGCAACTCCCAGAGTGTCCTAGGGGCAATTCCATCAGTGTTGGAAAGGAGAAGTGTGTAGGGTTCAGAACCAAGAGACTCCTTAGCATAACTGCTTCCTCCAGCCAGATTCATCTGTTGTCATTTATTTATAGTCCCTTTGGCTTTGGGTTCTTCTCCCTAGAGCCAAACAAAAACTGCTCTTACCATTTTCATCTACTAGGAGCAAGGAAATCCTGTCAGACTTTTCTTGGGGGTGGGGAGAGAGGGAGATTTTGAGACTAGATGTTTCCAGGAGGCCTCACAGGGTTAAAGGATAAAAAGTTTCAGTTTCTTGACATATAAAGGATATAAGATAAAAGAAAGCTTGTTTGAATTTTAGTGTAATCACTATAAATAATTACCTAGTATTTCAGTCACAGATAATAAATGCATTTTCATGCATGCATATTTATACATTACTACATTCTTATTTGATTAGTAGTGTGATATATGAATAAGACAAAATTAACCCATGAGCATTCCTATTTGACTATGAAACAACTTTAAAAAATACTTTTGTTAGTGATCTCATATAGATGTTTGGAATTCCTTTTTTTTCTTGAAAATTTATCTCCACCAAACCCTTAACTAGAGAATTTTTAGTGAAACATTCCTTTTCTGTACTAACTCCTCCAGCACTAATATTGTATAACATTTGGCTGACAAATAGTATTTTTATGAATGTTTTTAGCCCTAGGGTATGAAGTTAGTGTGAGAAAATCCACTATTTTTTTTAGGCTTTTTTGCTTATGAATCTTAGATTGAACATTGTGCCCTCTCCTAGCACTTTGTTTTTTTTTTCTTTCATACACTTAGCTCATTCTTCTTTGTATGATATTTATTTGTTGATATATTTTTATCTGTTCTGGAAATCCAGAGCTTGTTGTGTCCCTTCCTTCTGCAATTGTGAGCAAATCCCGATACTGAAGCCTAATATGCTTTAATAAGGCTGGAAATGGGCTCTGTTAATAGCTGACACCCTCACAACACACTAATCCCCTATTCGGGTAGTCTTCCTCTTTAGAATGTAAGCTAAGGAGCACTACCTTTGCATTTCTCTTTGAATCCCAAATGCCAAGCACAGGGGTTGGCATTTAATAAATGCTTTCCCCATTTATTAATTAATCTAATTACTAGATTTTAAACTCCTTTGGGGCTGATAACCTTTGAACTTTGTCAATAGGTGAGAAGTAAAAAGTATGTCAGATTGAATGGTAAGTAGACTTTTGGGTTACTTTTTTATCTAGTTCTAACAGTGTTACTATTGAAAAGAGTTCAAACCAAAATAAAAAAGCAACTTTTGATTCAGACACCATCTAATCAGATTCTATTAAGAGAAAAGGGTATATAGACCATCTGAAGGGTTTCTAGTGTTACCATGAAGACATTGCTTACCAAGGTCAGGATTTTGGATCTACAACCAAAGATACCCTCTCTCTTCAGAGCCAGGTACAATGATATAGAAATTCTGTAGGTCAGGATGAAAAAATAGAAGTATTACTGGACACATTGCTTTCACTGGGAGGATTGAGGTAAGGTCTACACTTGAGTCCTGTGATATATTGCCTTTTGCTTACTGGAGCTTCTCAATATTTTCTTTCCTCTGAAATCTAATCCATTCCCGTGGGTCCAATTGTTATCTCTATGATGAAAGTCATATATAATCCTATGCCTCACATTTAAAAAAGTATTTTTAAAAATTTGAATAATGCTTTTTTTTTAATACCACAATCATTTCCCAGTACCACTAACTCCCTTCTGACAACAATAAAAACAATTACGTAAAAAGATCCTAGACAGGATAGATAACATTTCTGACCTCTAAAATACCCCCTCTTCACCAAGGTGGGTTAGCATCAGTCATCTGTAAATACTGATCATGGCATTTGAAACAACTCTATAATTCCAGTTGCCAACTAGATATTTGAATATCCTGTAATCACTTCAAACAATATGTAAAATAGAACTCGTTTATCTCTAAAAACAAACCATCACCTTCTATTAATTTAGCACGTGTTCCAGATTCACAAACAGCTAAATGATCTATACTCTCTGTTGATCCTGTAGATAGCCCTTCAAAATGTTTTTTTCAACTTGTATGAACAGATGTAGAGGGAAAAGCAGAACATGGATGATCATATGCACAATGACCACAGTAATGTAGAAAAGAACAACACACACAGGTAAACTCAGATTAAACACAATGATCAACTTTGGTACTGGAAAACATGATTAAATGCTTTTCTCACATAAGGCTAGGCTGTTGCAGACAGTATTAGAAGCTTTCATTTTTAAAACTTTGTAACAAAGGAGGATTCTGTGGCTAAAGAAATATTGGAAAACAACTGGTGTAAAGAGCAAAAAGCATCAATACAACTTTTTCTTAAAGTTTCTTTATATTTTTCTTTCCATCCCAACTGTTACTACCCTTGTTCAGGCCCTTTACAATTTGTGCCCAGATTATTATAATAGCCTCCCAAATGATCTCCATACTCAGCAGATTTAACTCCCATGCTATATAATCCATTCCACCAGGGAGCAAATTCTTCCCAAAGTACCATCTAAGTGTCTAATAATTTTTCTTTCAGAAACTTTCAGTAGTTCCTTTTTGTCCATTAAAATTCAGATTCCTTTGCCTGAAATTGAGGGTATTCCCCAGCACATTATTGGAGTTATAGAAAGAACACTGGGCTTAGGACTGAGG